CTAACGTATCAATCTGGTGTAATCTCGCTGGTTCACTGTTCTGCATGGGTTGTCGAAGATCCAGACATGATACACTTGTCCAAACTCCTAAACGAAGAAAAAACACTTCCGATGACCGAAGAATCAAGAATGACGGCGCCGACCTGTTTCAGGCTCTTCGGTCTCGGGTTCATCAGGGCTTTGAGTTGAGACTGTCCCTGCAAGGATGTGGCACTTGGACATCAGTGCGCAGAACTGTCACACCTGATTTGCAAGTAGCTAAGTAGGAAAGTATCACTTCTGATAACTGTCTTGGAAAGCGTTTTTGAGGCCGAACAAGACACAGTTGTCCGCACCATCCAACTCATCTGACTCATCTGCCAGATCAGCCCAGCGCTTTTTGGCCTGACAGTCTGACAAAACATGAGCCAAGCCTGATCAAGAAAAGGTAACTTGTGACTTTGGCTAGTCTAGCTTGTCTGGATCGCTAGGTGTGGCCAAAAGATCGACTTATGAGTCTACGGTGCGCAGTCTCTCAGTCTGCTTTTGGTGTGCACAAAGTCCGTCTGTTTTGCTTCGCGTGTCTGAAGACATGAAACACAAAAACAACAACTCAGATTCAAGCACGCTGCACGTAGCAGGACGCACAAACACACAGTACAGTAAAAACATCATCCAAGCATTCAACCGATCTTGCAGCTGATTTCCCCAATCAGCACAACCAAAGAGATGAACTGGCTGGAACACAATGCAAATTACAGTAGAGGCCCGCTGTTCGCCGTTTGCCGCAGCCATATTTTGCCTTCGTTGACTGCACCGGGGGGGACGCATTTGAGATCCTGCTCCGTTGGAGCAGGACAGCAATGATTCAAGTGATTCGACCAAATGTTCCATACTAGGGGCTACTAGTCATCAGTTGTATGCACTAAGGTGACTAGTGACTATTGCTTCGTTGAAGCCACAATACTTTTGCAAAAACCAGCATTCTCCAAAATGGAACGAACTGTCAGCTGATTCAGCTGGTCAAAAAAGCGGTCCTCCTCGTCAGAGTCAATGAGGTCCGCCCAACGCTTGTGGCTGTCAAGCATGTCGGCCCACCCTTAAAGGGTTGAGCATCACTCAAAATTTGTGCAATCTCCAACAGTCGTGGGCAATTGGCTTGCCTTTTGACTGACCTGATGTCTGTCATTTTTAGGTGCAATGACTCAGGATGTGTGGCTGTCTAGAGTCAGCGTTCTCACTGATCCAAATGAAGGGAACGTGGTTCATGGTCCAATGGTGGGTTCTACTATATATATATAGTCGACAACAGTATGGTATGAGGTACTTAGTGCGGCATCTGCGAAGATTGAAAAACTCTATATAGGTGACCTAAAGCCGAGTTGCTGGTCGTTGCCTCCTGAAAAGCACCACCAAACAAATACAGTTTGATGCAGCGAACATCCAGTTGTCACTCTTCCAGATTTGCTTGTCGTGATGTGCCGACTTGTTCGTTGCAAGAATGCATGTGGCGTCTTTGTAAGCATCGATCATGTCGAGTTTCCAACATGAATGCAAACACGATTTGCGCTGCAACCAGTGTCGGGCCTCACAAATGGAGGGTGCCGCCGTCGACAAGCGATCTTCCTCCTGCCAAGCAGCGAGTCTTGAAAGCTTGCAACTAAAGCGAAGTCAAGGATACTGAAAAGAAACATGCATCCTCCCTCTAACAAACATGGAAGTGGAAAACTGATGAAAACTGCTGGTGTTGCGTAGCATCTTGACTGTTCTGCCTCTTCCGGAGGATCGCTGCGGCAAGCGGCCCCACTCGATGACGCACTCAAGTCCCGATCACCTAACGGTAGGCAGCCATGAAATGCAGTAGCATACAACGCATGGCAGTGGCTAGGTCCAGGTAGAAGGTGTTACATCAATCAAAGACCATCAAGATTCAAAAGTTGTATACTTATATATAGAAGGTAAGGTCATCTGGGATGAAGTCCCCTTCAAGCGTGCCTTATTAAGGATGCCCTTGCCTTCTTTCAATGACTATGGAATAGGTCAAGACCCAACGCATGGTGAATTGTCCCTAAAGGTTTGGAGGAGTCCATCCTTCCGAGACGTGCGATAGGAATCGAGCTCTCACACATTCGTATGATGTGCAATGTCTCCTCAAGTCAAAAAACTGGCACAACCTCTATACGCCTCAGATGTACAATCAACTAACTCTCTTTATTTCACCTCGGGCCACCTTGGATCATTGGCACTTGGCACTGGGCATCCCCGCATTGTGGCTCGAAGCTTGTGCAGGACATCGCTACTACCACTTGTAAATAAGGGGCTTTCTCAAATATCTGGATCAAAGGTGCAGGCTTATGCACCTTGAGCTCTAGAAAGGGCCAAGCAGGGCACGGAGAGGCAATCAAGTTCAAGAGGGCACTACCCTACATTGCGATGGACATCCCTTCAAGGCTTACTTCTGGGTTGGGTCTTGCAAAAGCTGTGATTTCCTCTCTCAATCAAAAGTTCTGTAGCGACTTCGTTGTAGAAGCAAGTGCAAATGTATGCCAGCATCTCACTCGGTCACTGCGCAAACCTTCTGATTCTGTTGGTGTCGAAGATTTGGGCCAAAACACGGCTGCCACGAGGCTGTCCTACTGTCCTGCCTTGCAGTTGTAAATGCACGCCCGATTGGAGCACTTGTTCCGGCTGCTCTTGGCGCAAACCTGTGCTGCGACCCGTCAGACAATCTGCCCTTTCATTGTTTTGCTTCTGAATGTGTTGCTTCACGGAGTTCACCTTGGAATATCAGCATGGAGAAAATACTACTTTAGCCTGCAGCAAAAGCATGTAGACCCAATGTAAACCACTCTCCCTAAAAAGAGTGGAGAAGCTTGGCGAGCAGCAAGGTGAACAAAGCAAGGGGGTCATAGATCGTCAGAGCATCTGACAAATTGAGTTGACTCTGGGACTGATAGATTTGAGCATCCCTACACTGTATCGGTTCTGCAGATCACCCAAGACCTGCCAGGCTGACTCGCTGCGGAAAATGCCAGGGGTTGCTCTTATGACTCGAGGGAAGCGGGAATAAAGGATGTGTAAACAACAGAGTCATGGTTGATGGATGTCCCCAGGCCCGGGTCCGGTATCTGTTGGGTTCTGTGCAGAAACGCTTCTCCACCAAAAGCGGAGGATGATTTTGGATGATAGCTGGTGGCGTGGGTTCCAAAAAGGCGAATGTTGTGCATCTTGAATCCAAACACGACCATGCTGCTTGGAGATCAAGTTGGATACGGAGTTCAGCACCACATGTCAGAGTCAGATGCATGTCAGAATGTCTGTATGACTTTCTCCAAAAAATGGCACATCTTCCAAAGCTCTTCTCCCTTGAGCCTTGTCTGGATTGCTCACTTCATTCTGCTCGAGGCGAACCCACATGGGGGGCACCCCCATCCACCTTGTATCGTGCCTGACAGTTCCAAACACGTCTGTGTGAACATCAGACAATCTGAGAAATTGATGAGTAGAGTAGACTCAGTAGACTGCGGGGTTGCTACCCCTAACTGACCCCCAGTCCTCCTGCGCAGCTTTCACCAGCATCTCAACGCCACGTTCCTCAGCTGTGCTGCCAGTGTAAGGCTCCCAGGGTTGAAGCACAGAAAGCAGCTTGAGGATCGCTTTGGAGCGCTTCAATGAATCGTCGTATCCCGATCCATCCCTTCCCGATGCCTCAAGGCACCGCCACTCAAGCCACACGTGCCTCCAAAAACCACTCCCACTTGTCCAATATTGAACAAGAGGCAGTGAAGCGGTTGTGCGACAAATGAAGCTCCTGGGGACCAGTAGCTTCTTGTTCCTAGTAGGTACTTTCTCCTAGTAGTACGGCCAGGAGCCCCTAGTAGCGTCCTTGCTCCTAGGAGTGAAAACCAATGCAAGCCTCTGAGACTTGCAATACAATTGTAGCTCCATCTTGCCCTGCTTTGTTCGAACGACTGAGATCTCTTGTCTATCGCTTGGATTCTCTTTCACTTTAAAGAGACTCGGCATAGAAACAAACGAAGCTACTAGGACTAGGAACAAAGGGCATCGCTACTAGGAACAAGAAGCTACTAGGGGCTGCTGGCATCGCTACTAGGAGCAAGGACGCCACTAGTAAATCCTGGCCTTACTACTAGTAACAAGAAGCTACGTTCCTTGCTTTCCGCACCCAGGGCCTCGAGAGAATAGCAGCGCTGCACAAATCGGCCCAGCGTCTGGTGCGAGCGGGAGAAATGAGCCGAGCGATTAGTCTTGAGAGGTTGCATGGTCGTTGTGGCAATCAGCAAGCAAAGATCACAGGTTCGAACATTGAAGCTACACACTATTTCTCTTGAGAATCACATGCCTCTCCGCGAAACCAAAGGAATGCTGCAAAGAATGCTTAACTTTGGCTGAAAATGTTACAATAGACAGTAGACAGTAGACTGCTGTTAATAAATCCAGCATGGTCATGTTCATCCGGGTCAAAAATTGTGAAAATCTCCGGCAAAAACATGAGATTGCTCCATCAAGGCGGCTCCTGAGCAGCATCATCATTGATATCCTTAGGATGGAAGGAATTGGACTAGTCTTTGAGCAATAAAAACTTGGGAAACCTTGGGTTCTTGAGACTTCAACCAGGTACAACCCCTTGCAGTCTGTGCATCGGCTTGAGGGGTGGACGTTCTTGTAGAGCTTCAGAATCCGCAAGTTCTCACACCGCGAGCACAGCTCCAAGACCTTTTTTGGACACGAGTTCTCAAAGCGAGACGTGACCATTTTGTGAAGAGTTGCTTGAGACATGGCTGAAAGTTTGAGATAGTTTGAGTACCTACTTTAAGCAAGGCCAACGGTCCTATGTAAGTCTGTGCGTTTTCCATCCACAAGCGCACCTTCCGGAGGCCTTCTGCACTCAGGTGGTTCCTTAGATCAAATCCCGAAGACCGCATTTCGCGCGCTTCAAGCGACGTTGACAAGGGCAACGGTCTTTGTGTCACCCCCACCGGTGCCACCAGCCCCTTTTTGAGCCACTGAGTTCTTTAGCTTTCCAGCTTTCCTTGGAGCGCCGCACTTTCGCGCGCGTCCAATTTGCAATAGGCCCTCGACTCCGCTCAGGTGACTTTGGCAAACCAGTAGCCTTGGCAAGCAGAAAAGGCACCTTCTCCACATCCAGAATCCAAAATATACATACATTACATGTTTTTATATAAGTGTATAAGTGCTGGTCAATTCTTTGCGTTGCATATGAAGCTGGATACCTAATAGTCAAGTTCACCCCCACTTCTGTGGATCATGCTGGCTAACCATGACCATGAAGCACCGTGAGCACTTCTTTGGAGGAAACTTCAAGACTTGAGGATCCGCTGGAGATCAATGTGACTGCGTGCACCGGACATATGGTGCTCCCTAGATCAACTCATGATGAGCAACACTGCCACTGAACTGACCCACATTTTCGGGACAAGTCTGCTGCCGCATTCTACAGAGTCAATGTTGAGGCAAGTGATCAATTCTAGTGCTCTAAGGCTTATCCACCCCCCTTCTTGCTCCCGCTCTGCAAATGCCTCCAAGAAGCAAGGGATGAAAGGAAAGATGTGCTCCAGCCAGACATGGTGAGAGATATCTTTGGCACATGATAATGTGCTTCGCTTGTGACAAAGTAGCAGCGTCAGCATGCCTAAGCCCACAAGATCGGTTGCCAGTGACTCTCAACCAAAACTAACACGAAAATCAAGTCAATTGCTGCCCTTTAGTCATGTGGTACCACACAACCTGGTGAGAGCTTTGCATCAAATCTTTACCGCCTCATGGTCAGTGTGACAGTGTACCATGCGACCCCCTCTTACACCTGAAAATGTGAACATGGAAGAAACAAAAGCTATCCTTAAGCCAGGCCGTGGGGCACTTCAGCGCGCTGCGTGGGAAGAAAACACTTCTTTCAAGCGTCCACCCCCCGCCTAGGCACACCTGGCTGGGTGAAGTCATTGGATGATCGTCAAGAGCGGTGGCACTGCAACGTGATTCAAATCCTATTTTCTCCAGCAGAAGAGTCTGTGAAACCTTTCAAGATGTTAAACAGTTTCAAACAGTCTCGGGCTGCTGCTACATGAGGATGTCTGGCAATGTTGCCTCCTTCATGCTTTCAGTTGCAGTCATTTGCTTTGGTGTCGATTAGGCGCCTCTATCCATAGCTTCTGCTGATCTTTGAGCTTCGCGTTCTCAACCATCGCCAGCTGATCGAACTCCTTGAAGCTTTCGTCTCAGATCGTGAAGCTTTCGCATGAAAGCGAAATGTGCGAATCCCAATCGTCTGTGGAGGGTCTGTCCTCCTTCGCTTCACTCCAGGGTGGCAGCGTCTTCTCTTGCTTGGATTTCCTTGGGCGCAGGAAAAGTCAATCGTTTCTGTGGATGTGAACTGTTACTTGTAGACTGTACATGCCAGCAAATCTCTTTACCCAACGAAGCCACAAACGCTGTCTATTACGAGGTGTTTGATCATGTTTGTTTTCATATGCTTATCGACTTTTGGCTCCAGAGGAATCAGTTTGCTTCAGGTACCTGAGGTGCAACTTCAAAGCCTTTTCTGTGACGATGCTTCTACGGTTCGCTGCTGCCATGCATCTGCATGTAGAGAAAGTAGCCATTTAGTGCTGGGCCTGGAGCTAAGTCAATCAGCTCCTGGAGTCAGGATTGACACAACATTAGCTGTCATGAGTTCATGCATCTAAATGAACCTTGCGTACATGGTCCACATATGTCCACTTTCTGCTACTCAGAACCAATCTCTCAATTTATCCTTTCCAGAATCGGGCAATTTTTGAGAAGGCAGTTTTCGCAATTGTTTTTGCTCTGGACTGTTGGGTACCCCACAACAGGACCTTCAGCACGCTGAACACGCGAAATCTGGATAGCAGCATCTGCTGGTAAACCTGCAACCAGCAAGGATGGGAGGATTTGCAAATGCAAAGCATGGTCAAACTTGTCCCAGGGCATTGAGTCAATTGAGACCCACTTTCAAACAGTGTCTGAAATAAAGACATGGAAGAGTTAAACAAAGCAACAACAAGGAGGTGAGAAAACTGAACTCTACTACAGTTGTAAAAGTGTACAGCAAAAAGTTGTCAATACAAAGTACAGACTGATTAGGAAAGTTTGAAGAGGTCTACGGACAAGCATGCCCACAACAAATACTCGCAATGGAGCTAAAAGCGGTGGCCCAGCTGATTGCGCTCTCAGCAATTGGATTCTCGCAATTGGCAACACTAATCAATCCTCCTTCTGCCAACTTGTAAGCATGTGCTCCTCTCAGTCTTGACATCAAACGCTGCACCGGTTGCCTCCTCCGCTCGGGTTGAGAGCTGCCGGTAGCGGCGACGTGTCTGGCCATCCAGGTCATGCCAAATGCTGTGCAAACGACCCGGGCTAAAGCGCTTCTTGGACAGGGAGTCCCACTCCTTAGGACACACGTGAAAAGTTATCTCTTCATCCATAATTTTGCAATGCCAAAATGATATATTAATATACATAATCAAATCTTGGATTGTCTCAAAAAAACAGTTTGAGATCCGAATCTGAAAATTGACCTGGCCAACAGTAACTAGGCACCTGCTCAATGAGATGCTGTTCCGTCATGGGTTTCGGTGGTTTCCGGAGCGATGGCCATGGGAGCTTCAGCACATCAGAGCGCTTTAACGCCTGGTTCGCACACAACAAACTCAATCCTTGGAACCGTGGAACCCTCAAACATCTTCCATCTCTGTCCATCCTCAGACCTCTGCGTTTTGTGAACAATCCACCAAACAATTGTCACTGGTTTTTATGTTGCAAATTGGGCAGTTCGACGCGTTATTCGGCTGACCGTGTTCTTTAGGGTTCTTTTCTGATCTTTTTCTGGTAGCGCTGTCATGTGGTGATTCTGTGGCAGGCGCAGCACGTTGAGCACCTTCAGTTGCAGAATTTGTGGCAAGTGCGGCACTTTGCGCACTGGATGTGCAGATTTCGTGGCAAGGCATCGGCGCGGGTGATGACGGTTGACAATCACCCCTGCAATTTCATATGATGGTGACAATGACGGCGATGCTGATGATGATGATGATGATGCTGATGATGATGAATGATGAACATGATGATAACAATGACCGTTTGCGCTCGTGAGGCTGACAGTGTTTACGATGATGACGATGATGATGATGGCGATGGTGATAAACCATCAAGAGTCTAAGACGAGGGTAAAGATGATAGTTAGACAGCTGAAGTTGGCACCCGTGCTTGAAGGAGAACCCTTCCCAGCAGCTTTCTGAGAAGATCGATTCCAGCAGCAAGCACCGACGCCTTTTAATCTTTACGTTACCGAGGATACGCCCCGCGCAGCGGTGTCAAGCGCTCAGATTGCGTACGCAGCGGCTCACTTTCGCACAGAGGCATCTTACTACATTGGAATGGTGCATTCCTGTTCTAAGTCTTCCCCTCGCATGGCTGGTCTGCTTGGCGCCTTCTAAATTTTACATTCGGGTGGCTCACAAAACGTCTGCTACCTAGGACTGGCCCCTGCACCCTCTTAAATTTTACATTCAGAAGGCTCACAAAAGGTCTCCCACGTGGCAATAGCCCCCCTGCCTCCTTTTTGAATTTTACCATCGCATGGGTCACAAAAGGGCTGCTACATTGGAATAGCTGATGCCTCCTGTAAATTCACCCTCGGCTGGCTCAAAAGTATGCTAGATGTGTGTGGCTCCTGCGTCCGCTAACTCTTACCTTCGGGAGGCTCACACAAGGTCTTCTGCCTTGCGGGGTGGGGGATCAAAAAATCGGTACAATGTCAAAAAATATATTCGACGGTATCAAGAAGAGAAAAGAAAGGGGTCAAAAAATATTCAATCCCAGCAAGCAATAAAAGGAAAAGGAAAGGGAAAGGACAACAGCAGCAAGGCGGGCGACTAGAGGACCATGAAAGGACGATCGCAACAAATAAAAAATAAAAATTAGGCAGGGGTGCGCAGTACTTGCTGCGTGGATATGCGATGGGGTGCCCTTTAACAGGTCGGTCGCGGCAGCCCCTCAGCGCTTTGGCCAAAGCAGATTTCGCGGCGCCGAAGCGGGACTGCAAACTACAAAAGCCACCCGACGCTGAAGGCGCGACAAAATACATCGAAAACTACACACCGTATTGCCCAATCAATGAGGGGCCCATCCACTACACGACAGTCCAAGGATGCTTGCTACCGCGCGCAACACAAAATCAAAGAGACTTAGGCGGGCGCGCGCAATATTTTGTGAGAGCGATGGGTACGTGGGCGACCTTTAGAACATCTGTCATGGTAGGCCCAGCTCATTGGCAAAAGTAGCGCAGATTTCGTGGCACTGGAGGGGGTTGGGGGAGGGCGCAGCGTCTCCCCCCGACAGCGAACCAAACATCAAAAGCCATCAGACTCAAAAGGCGCCACAAAATAGGCCACCATCGAAAACTACACACCCCGTTGCCTCATCAATGAAGGGCACTCAAAAAGTGAGGCAAGGACCAAGGCAACCGGACTGAGACCAAGAGACCAGCGGATCAAAGGAGCAGTGAACTAGGGACCAGCGGACCAGGAGACCAACGGCCTAGTGGACCACTAGACTCGAAGACTGATCTTTTTTGATCCTTTCTTTTTCTCTTTTTCATCATGTTTTTCTTTTGATCCTTTACATTGTATTTTTTGATCCAGATGCCTGCCTTGAACTCCCTCCCCATATGGGGTGCCCTTTTGCATCTGGTTCACCGGCCTCTTCACCATTAAAAAGGGCGCCCCCAAGCAACTCAAAGCTTGCCCACTGCATTCTGTTCCCTCCTGGGTCATATGATTTCTTGCAGTCCCTTCCACTCCTATTAGTGACAAGAAAACAGAGCGCTTGGAGACACACATCACATTTTTTCTTGAGGAGTTCCAACCACTTTTCACGTCCTGTTGTCCCCCCTTTCCTGTCCTCGACATGAACTCCCACCTAGACTGCTTAAATAGCCTCCTGAGCCCCTCATAATGCTAATGATGCACTCTTTGGTGTCAATTACATCACTTGCATCACAACAACCCAAAAACCTTACATGCTCATTCCTTTTCGGACGCCCTCTATTTTTCGCTCTCCCCCACCAGGCTCTGGGTTTGCCCTACTAGTTTGTTCCCCTATGCGACCACCCGCCCCACACCCCCTAATACTCACTTCGTTCGCCCATCGACATCTCCAGCCTAGCCTATCGGCTGGCTTTCGTAACTACCCCCATATCAGTGAATGAAGCCACGAAAAGCCAACAGAAGCCAACCGAAGCCACGAAAAGCCTACACACGCTAAGCCACCGGAAGCCAAAAGCCAAAGCCACCAAAAGCTAAAAGCCTCCCAAAGCCAAAGCCCCCCGAAAGCCAAAAGCCACCAAAAGCCAAAAGCCACTAGAAGCCAAAAGCCAACAGAAAGCTAGCACACCACAAACGGTGAAAAAATAAATAGATTGAAAAAAATATCCCCCCCAAAAAAAAAAAAAAATATATATATATATATGAACCTGTCAAATGCTCTGCTACACATCTGTTTTCTCTTCACAAATCAAGCATATCAATGTGTCCTATGCCCGACCTGCGGATCAGGAATGATTCCGCCTGGCAGATGCGCGGAGCTCCCCAGAGTGGTGCATCAACGATGAAAGTTCGACTCACTCTGCGGGACGTGATTCAGTTTTCTCCGCTTCGAATGATCCTACAGTAGATGAGTTCCGCTTCCATAGCAATGACGAAACAACTACCCGCTGAAGAGCAAACCATCGACACAAGTCTCCCGTCCTCCAGACCGCTTCCGACCGAAGCGGAACTCCACCGAGAGGTCCGAAGCACCCAGCTGAATGTCCTCTCGATGTCGGTCGACAAGCCCTTTTGGTCGCTCAAGCCCTGGTCCGAGCAGTCGGAACTGCACTGCCGTGCCGTGCTGTGCTGCGGTGTATGTTGTAGTCACTGTTGTCACAGGATGCAGATCACTGACTGGGGAGTTGTGTCAATCTGAAGCTCAATTGCTAAATTTCCCTTGGGCAAAGACACGCTCCAAGCATTCGGCAAACCTTTCCAAGATCTGCCCTATGCCACACAGGATCTGTCTCAATTTAAACCTGCTCCAGGAACCTGTTGACCAGGAGCGAACTGCTTGCTCCCTTTACAGAAACCACAATTGGATTTCTCGCTGTCTCGCTCTTGAATCCAAACAGCCAGGTGTAAACCGCCGCACCTGCACCGGCAAAACTTCCACGGAGATAGATGTTCGTTCTGCACAGCACGATACCAGCCATCACCAGCAATTACACTCACAAAACAAATCAAAATTGCTATTTTCTAGGAGAGTTTCATAGATTCCATAGACGAGTCAGAGTCACTGCTACTCAAACAGCTGTGGTATCTTGCCCAGAAGAAAAATAACCCGACAGCTCCTGTTTCTGGGAAAAGGCAACGCTAGCTGAGAATTGCGAGCATGAAATGTGCGTAAGCAACACGTCTTCAAATACTTGTTTACAAATGATTGTTGACAGATGTTGACAGTGTCTTGCTATCTCGCTGCTCACCTGCGTATTGCACAAAGCAAACTCGGCCAAAGTGCCGCCGTTCTTTCGCGACCACAACTACCTCAGACAAGCGCAGCCAACGACGGTTTTGATCCAACTTCCATGTCAAACCCACAACAAACTGCAGCTGTATGTACTATTTGGGCCAAAGGCGATACCGATGTCAAGCAGCTGCAGCCACCAAGTGTAGAGACAAGACGGAGATTCGGCGCGAGCACAATCTTGATGCCATGTTGCTAGATCATTCATCTCCAAGCCCTCTGTGCAGCAGACTTGGGCCTGGCCAGAAACCCGACGAAGAACCCGAGCCACAAGACTGTGACAACAAAGATTGCGAGACATGACAAATGACACTCCCTCATTTTGGGGTGTCCACTCCAAACGAAGATGTACATTGCTTAGCACACGGCATCGCTCGTAGACACTTGAACCGAAACCTTACCTGCTTCTGCAGCCTCAAAAGCTCCTGCGCCGATCGTGCTGGAACTGGTTGAAGCCTCAACTATAGATTTACAAAGAACAAAGGAGGCTAGCAATATAGAACTGAGTCCAACTACAGCAATTCATGTCTTTGTCTGTGCCTGCAATCATATATATATATATATATTTATGTTGTTCTTGCTTAGGATTGACCAAAAACATGTTCCCCCCCCAAGCCCAAAGCTTTTCAACGGGAGCATCTACTCAAAAACCTGGCAAAGCGGACATGACTTCCGTTCTGAAGCTTTCTGAGCGACTTCTCCCAACTCTCCCAACTCTCCTGCAAAGCTGCCACGTTTTGGCGGCCTTGCCACAAGTCAGCGGTCACCAAACGTGAGCGTCGAGGCGCTGGGAGCTTGCCGCCCAACATGGCGAACGTCCGGCGCTTTTTGTCGCGCTATTTTTTTCAGCAAACGGCTTGTCAAAAAAGAAGGTTCTCTGGAAGAAGTTATTTTGTCTGTCGGCTTGTTGTCTCTTCTTGCTGGGTTTTTCAACCACTGACTACACTATGAGATCCCTGCAGTGGGTGTTGAAGAGCTGTCAACACGAAAATCAGCACCTTTAAAGGCTGGGGAACCGGGTAGTGCCCTCTCCATCCAGTTGAATCTCTGCTCAAAAAGCTTCATGTTCTACTTCCGCTCGCATGGGAGCCAGCTCAACAGTCCTCTCAAGTAAGAATGCAAATTGAATTGCGTCCAACATATTCGCTAAACGGTATGCTATTGAGAGAGTCTTTGCTTGCCAGCAGCCGAACTTGAATACTACCATGTTCCCAAATGGTCTTACAAATCAGCTCCGGCAAGGACTGGAAAGGTCAAAGTACCATGCTTGTTTGGACGAGCTGCTGTGAAAAGTTCACTTCCTCATAGGGGTAGCTCACGTCTTTGAGGGGAAGCTCCTGAAGACGATGTTCAACACGATTATAAGGCATTCGCCAAAACTTTAATGAAATAAAGTAGCTCATCGAGCTGGGCATGATTTGCAACCCTTTCTTCATAGTCTGGGGCAAGGTGTACTTGACACCAGCTCCTGCAAGTCGGAGTCGCTGAAGGCGCGGCCCTGATAGTCCAGCCTTGGAAGAGCACCCCTTGAGGGCTCTTGGACCCTTGAGATTCGAGCAACAACTCAAGAGGCTTGTGTTGTCATGGTAATAATACCAAGTCTTTCCGGGAATCCCAAGTGTCCAAGCTCTTTTTGTGAACCGAGTAGTTCCTCTGTTTTGAAGATCCAATCCTCCAACCAATCCGGGAATGCGGCTTCTTGGAGCTCATGACCTGACGATGTCGCGAGGAAAAAGACACTTCATCAAGACGTGAAAGCCAAAAGGGTGTTGTTCTGGCTATCCAGAAATGGTCTGAGTCTACAGTCTTCCAGAGAACGAAGCATCTTCCGCTCAGAAAAATATGGCTTCTGGGCATCTCATTCTTTCGGACTTTCTCGTGGTTCATTGCATGCATCCAGAATGCAGGCAGCGCTCTCCGTTCGTCAAATCCACACCAAACACAAACACTTGAAAGAAACAAAACGAGATCTGCCTCTGTGCCATGCGCTTCTACTGAACTTGCGGCGGCAGATCCAAAATCAATGCACACCACGAGGCTGGGCTGCGTAAGGGTGGGCTAGCGGCTAGCGGCTATGATGGCTGCGGGAGGGAGGGATTGATTACAATGGTTTCTTTGGTTCTACTCACCAAGCGAAATTTAGCCAGTTGGCTTGTAAGCTTGAGGGGTTGCAGTTCCTTACAACTCGGGCTTCCTGGTGTCTCTATTTTTTGTCTCAGTGTTAGCTGCGTGGCTGTGTTATCAACTTTAGAAGATGCTTGAAATACGTCTCCAGGTTGGCATAGGCATAGTCTCATATGTTGCTTATTGCTTTGGCTGTTTCTCCTTGCCTCTCTTTCTTTGCTGTTCATCATTGCAAGAATTGATGCATGAAGTTGAGGGTCTGAGGGCCGGTGGAGTCTTTGGCATGCTCCTACCCGGCTTTGAGCCACAAAGTCTTCACGGGATCGCCGGACAGATCACAACCGTTGTTGCACATGTGCAAAGCACATGTTGTTGATCCACCTGGAGACAAGCCTTTGAGACCATCCATGGGCGGAGAATCGCTTGGCGGAGAAAAGCGGCCAAACTGTGCGAATCGCTGAAGTGTGCGGTGATGCATCGGTCTGTCAATTGGAGATCCAGAAATCTTCAAGTCGGGCAGTGAGAAGCCACTGTTCTGCCGCTCTACCTCTGAAATCAGAATCTCTGCAACTTTTTCAGGAGACATGGCACCTCCCCGTGTTGGCACACGTCCTGCCATGATTTTAAGTAAGTGTCAATTCTATTCCATTGCAAGTGCTACAGCTGGAATCTCTGCAAAACAATGAACTGCAAGCCCAGTGCTTCACACTCACATGCTTTGGGTAGAAGCACACAATCAGCCCCAGTGCTTCGAATCCACGCATGCATGTTTCAAAAACAGGCTAAGGAGTACGACGAGTGCGGCACCATAGTGGCCAAAAGCACCTTGGACGGCCAAGACTCCCAATCCCACCCCCTTTCTGCAGCCAACCAAAGGTTGCAAGGCTCATTTGGATCCAAATCATCAAGCTTGGTCTTATCCCACCTCTTGTGCTTCTTCGGCCCGCAAGCGTGCTGCGACATCCAATGGCAGCATCCTGGGAACTGAGGGACATCTGCAGCTTCAGAACATGTGGAAGAATGTCTCAATATGATCGGCTTCTGTTTTCAGAAACAGGTATAGACACGCCAGGCTTAGAATCAAAGCAGAAGTACAGGGATGGGCTTGGCTGGCACATGGCCATCAAATAGAGGGGTTATACTGGATATGCTACCTGGTGCCCTAAAGCTTCAAGGTCCAAGGCAAGTCTAAGGTAGTCGCAGACATAGCCAAACCGTACCAAAAAAGAAAGGTCTTTCACAAAGGTTTTCATAGTCCACTTCGGAAATAGGATGAAATAGGTTCTGCCACGCACCGAAGCTGCTTGTCACAAAAGATTCCGTCGAAACCCACCTCAAGTGATCCCTCCGCTGCGGATCAGCGCGAGCGGCCAACAAACACCGCACTGACCTATAGTGAGATCAAAAAAGGGCTGCAAATGTGGCATGTTTGTGACTTCAAGCAAATTATAGCAAGATAAGCTTGTGACATCCTTCAAATCGACTTGATCAAATCTACAGCTCTACTTGGGCAGCTCCATTTAGGCGGTTGCTGGGCATCGCCCGCTGCACAAGCACAGTGCAGGGCTGTTCTTCCATCGATCTGCCTGAGGCAATTCTTCGCTCTCGGCTTGGTGGAGACTAGTGTTTGTGGTCTAGACCTGCACTTAATGAGTATGTAGAGTTGTTTCTTTACTAGAGTTTGCAACTCTGCTCATCGAAGGTCTTGGGTTCACTACCAAGCAAGAAGCAGAACGTGCAAGACGTTTTCTAAACAAAGATTGCTTGCTGCCAGCGGAAAACACCGAGGCCCCAAACCCCACAGCATCCACTTCAGCTTGTAAGTCCTAAGTCAAGCAATGTATTTTCATAGAGTCAAGTCACCCGTGCTTTGCTCAAGGTGTGCTGCCCCAACATCTGTGTAGATAAAGCACAAAACGTGCAAAAACTTTGAACTGCCGCTGCTATTCCCCAAACAGTGTAGTCCTCACTTCGGGTTCTTATGGTAATAGCTAAGGCTAGGTTTGATCGAGGATGCTCAGCGGCGTGGGCAGCTATTTCACTGCCACTTACTGCACATTCATGCCTTGAGATTCCGTTCTTGGAGGACGTCTCGCAGTATCGAAAAGTGGTCTGGGAGATGTCTGGTTCTCAAATGCGCTCTCGCTCATTTTAGGGCTTGGTTGGTGGTCTCTTTTCATGGGGCCGCAAGGGAAGAACCGGGAACCTCCGTGTTTTGGTGGTCTCAAGCCGACTTCTCATGACAGCTGCAGATTTCGTGGCAAACGCAGCACTTTAGACTTGGTGGTCGTGGTCCTTGGCCTGTTTTGATTTCGTGGCGGGTGCGGTGAACCGTGAACTTTCGATAAGTATTGATAAGTATTGCACGAAAGTTGTGTTCATGCTGTGTTCTAGCTTTGGCGTCGAGAACTTGTCTTTTCGCACTGGCAGGGCTGCGTGATGTAAATCTTCATGTGCAGATTTCGTGGCAGGCGCAGCACTTTGTGAACCTCAGCTGTGCTCTCACCCGTGTGCGCTCACATGTGCCCAATTATGTATGCTCTCACATGTGTGCTCTCAAATCTGGGCTCTGATGTGTGTGTGTGTGTCAAACCCTGTTTCCAAGATTCAATTTAACTTAAAGCAGGGGGACAGAGCTCTCTGATGCTACTCTGTCCAACGAAGCTGTGCATCAGAGAGGGAAGCATCCACTGGCCATGGATGTGTACCTGCTTTCAACAGTTGAACAAGCTGTCCAATTGACCTGGTTTGCTTTCATGGTTCTTCATGATACTCCCCCCAAACCTTCCCACCGCGTTCTTGCAGCTGAGCCGCGCGTTTTCGTGAGCTTTTCGTTTTGCAGTTTGAGAGAAAAACACTTGTTAAAACACCTTCAACTCTTCGGACTTTTCACCTTACTGTTCTTCACCTTCCTTCCCACCGTGGCAATTGAGTTAACTGAAAACCAATGTCAGAGTGTGAGCCGCTCAGTCTTCCCACTTGGGTGCTGGGTGTGATCATTTTCAGTGGGGCGCTGAATTCACGCTGGAAATCGTGTAACGGATTTACTTACTCCACTGATTACCCTTCTTCACTTTCATAACTGAATTAACGGAGTCCGAAACGCCGAGCCAAAAAACGGACAATCTCAACCACCGAATCCAGAGCCGCCGGGCTATAAAACGGTACTCCACCCGCAATGAGGCAGGTTTCCCAACCCCCCCCCCAGCCGAGTTCTACTCCCTACCTATTTGGGGCAACATAGGGAAATGGTACTCATACTCGACACACTTGTGCGTCGGTGCCTTTCCCTGTGTTGTTCCTGCTCTAGTCTTTCCTACCCGGGCGGTCTAAGACTAATGTCCCGCTCCCTAGCTATTGCACTTAATTCATCTCTGCTAAGTAACCAGTAACTCTAGAGTGCTAGGTATTCAGACGCACACATGTACACACACATGGACATACAGCCCCTCCCTGCCCTGCCGCTTTCCTTCTTGCGCTTTTCGTCGTTTATTGGGCTTTCTCTCAGGCTTTTTAGGTTGCTCTTGAGGCTCTTTTCCCTACCCCAGTCAAGGGCTAAGTATTCGCTTTTTCTACACCTACCTTTCTTTCTTGCCCTCTTAGCGCTGCTCTTTCTGTCTTTCTTTTCTTTTGTTTCCAAGGCTTTTTAGGTGACTATTCAGGTCTTTCACATGCGCGCCGCGAAGCGGCACCGTGTGTGTGCGCGTGTAACCCTTGGAATCAGAGGGAACCTTAAGGTTTGGAACAGGGGGCGTGACGGTCGATTTCCTAGTCACGCCAATGAAGCTATGGAAATCGACTGGATGGAAGTTTGGACGCAAACTTCCGTACCTGTTCCCTATTTAGGAAAACAGGAGGAAATGGTACTTGACACACTTGTGTGTCGGTGCCTTTCCTTCTGTTTTCCTCTAAGGCTACCCTATAGGTTGCAGGTAGGCCTCCAAACTTTGTAAGGGGTTTTTAACCTGAACTCTGGCCTCCACCCACTAGAATGGACCCCCAACTTTTGCTGTTTTGCTGTCTTGTTTGTCTTGTGTTTCTTGTTACCTACTAGCGAGGGCCCCCAACCTGCCTTCGACGGCCTCCAACCTAAGTGCGAAGACCTCCAACTTTGACCGCTTTGCTGTCTTGTGGTTTC